TTTCTCTGCAATTAATTCCGATCTTCCTTGCTTTCTGGGGAAATGTTCTCTGAAATTTCACCGCTGACCCAAAATGACCTACGCATCGATTTTATCGCCTCCCAAAATTCCCACCCTGCTCTATTTTGTATTATTTTCTTTTAATTTATGTCCTCCTTGAAGTTGATTTTATGCTCGAGTTCCCTCTGTCTCTTTTTGACTACCTTACTCTTTCTGTTTTACTCTCAAGAGCCAGTCGCCATTTAATTGTGTTTAAATTAATGCGGAGGAGGTGGAATGGAAGTTTCGATTTCTGTTTATCTTTAGCAATTCCCACTAAAACTGGAATAAATTTTCTTTGAAATTTATTGCTCCGGAAATAAAAGAAAGTTTACCAAAGAAAATGGCTCTGGCGAGTGTACTAAATCGAAATTTTAGGATCGCTTACAGTGGTTAAATTAACTTGCAGCTTTACCATTGAGCGTTTTATTAAATGTTTTTTCATTAAGTGAAACTTAACTTGCAGCTTTACCATTGAGTTTTTATTACATTTTTTTCATTACAATAATCTATAAATGATCAAAAATTACAAATATAAATACACCAGAAAGTCTGCATTGATCAAATTGTCGTTGATAAATCGCAATAAATATTATAATCTATTTATAGACCTCCTCCAAGGTCTTTCCCATTTGAACTTCACCCGAGAGATCGGGAATCGTAAAACTTTCTTAAAATGAACAACAGGCTGAAGTTCCTGCGCAGGAGGATTTTCTATTTTGTCGCTGCGTTTTCATTGCTGATTTTTATCACGGCCCACATTGAAAATTTACGAGTTTTCACAGCGCATAAATTCTGCGCCGTTTGCCAATTTTTATTATCTGCAAAATACTTTATGCGCATCTGAGGAATATTCGCGGGTCTAATGGAAACATGAACCCAAATTGAGACACTTTGCGTAGACCAAAGCAATCATCATACCCTCGGCTGAAGTCGCGAAACTTCTCTGGGGAAAAGCGCGGAAAATGAGCCACCGAATAATGATAAAAGGTGAAAAATGCACTTAGCTGGGAGGAAAAACAGAAAATGCTAAGCGTAACTTATTATGGAAGATGAGGGACGGCAAAAGAAAACTTTCCGCGGAAACTTCAGCTGCATGTGTTGCATACTTTGTGGCGCTCCAAAGAAAGCATGAAAAATGAGCAAAGGAGGAAAGGAAAACATTGCGAAAATGCATCCCCAAGTAAACGGGAAAAACAAATTTTTAATGTCCCTCAAAGGAAGGGGAAAAATAGGAAAAGTTTCTTCTCCGATTGCGATGCAAAATGTTGTCACTTTGTATCCCGACAGCCAGGATCATCAATCGCTGCTCTCTTTTCCTCTGTCACCAAAGATCCCTCAAAGAAAACTCTAAGGATACATATGCATAAATAAAAGAGGACACCCCATAAGCCATACTCCTTCTTTTTGCCAATAAATTTTCAATTTCCGTCCTGAAATTTGAAATTTATTTCACTGCAGAAAGCTAATTTCACAACGCTCCTTTGTAAGTCACTTTCAGAGAGTTTTCCAAGGTGGCCGGTAAGTTTTCCCTGCAGTTTTCCACACAAGCTCACAAGAGTTTATCGAAGGATATAAATACGCGGCAAATTGCATTGTCTGCTCTGGGGATTGCACTTTATTAGATAAGCAAAAAAGAGGTAAACATCTGCCGGGATTCCTGCCTTCCAATCATTTGACAAGTAAACAACTGAAAAGTTCACCCTCCCATTTTCCAATAAATCAAGGAATTTTCCCACCACCGGGGCTGTCAGCAATTTGATTTGATTTGCAGACTCTACGAAAATATTTCATAAATATTTACCAACAGTTTTTTCGTTCTCATCGCATAGCGAACATTTGCAACTGTGAAAATATTTTTCGAGCATTCCGTTTGTTGTTTCTCCTGCTACTTTTTAGTGCAAATATTTTCCAACATTTTTTCGCCTCATTTGCCTGGGTGGACGTGTCCGAAATGGGCGTGGCTGTTTGTCTACCTTTGATGTGCTAAATTGGTGCAAGGATTGCATTTGCAAGGAGATTTGATCGCTTGAAAACAAGAGAAGTTAACTTGAAAGGGTGTTATGGCAATGGAAACCCCTTAGTTTGCATACTTAACTCTCGGAACAGAGATTTTTATTCCGAATCCCCCTTTGGGACAGTATCCATTTGATTTTAACGACTTGCGAGCAAAGTTTCCCCGCAGGCAACGAGAATCCTTTGCCAAGTGAAACATTAAACTTTGCCCCTTCGGAGAAGTAAGGATAACAATAACATAGCGAAGGATATCAGCAGACGCGAAAGGCAGTCAGGATAATGGCCAAACAAGACATGACAGCAATGAGGGGAAACATTTTCAATAATCCCAAGGAAAAGGTTAAAGGCGCGACATTTCCATAGAACTTTGTTTCGTTTTTGGGGCATTACACAAATATGTTTCTTATGCGAAAATCTTTAATGGGATTTTTCTGGTTTATAAGCTTTGAATCTCTTACCAAATGCCTTACCAAAGAAGAAAAAAATCGTATTGGAATAGGCATTTAAGGCAGCCACACCCACTTCTTATCCTGCCTCAGTCACTCCTAATATAATTTTTCTAATTAACTTATTCTGGGCTTATTCTTTAACACCCACTTCCTGTTCCCCTGTTAGACCCCTTTTTTAGGCTTTCTGTTAGCTCCGTTTGAACTTGGCACAGGGAATCCTTTGGATCCTTTACAGCTTCTAATTATGCCAGTTGGCTAAAAATACGAGTTGCGTGGCTAATTGCAGGCGACTGCTTCGAAGGCGGCTCACGTGGCGTATGCGCGATTTGGGGAACTTTTCCTTTTGCGCCTTTAAGGTGTTGTTTTGTTGCTCCTTTTTTAATGAAATCACGCACGTTTCTGAGGGAATACTTGAAGGAAGAGCAAAGCAAAAAGAGCAGGGAGGAATGCCGCCAAATTGTGCGTTTGACGCTTGAGTTCTGCGTTTAATCAGCGATTAAGTTGGGGAGAAAGTAACATAAGTGCCACACAATAAAAAACGGAATTTGTAGGAACCTCTCGCCACAATAATGCTTAGCTGCAATCCTTCTGTGGTTTCTTAGTACTTCCTGAGAAGGTGAGAAGTTCATTCAAGGGAAACAAGAATCCACAATTGTCGAACATTTTGTGTTTAATTAAGCTCGAACTGCTAGAGGTTAAAGTAATTTTTCATCTCAATAGAGGAAATGGCGATTCGTTTAGCCATGCAAATTGGATGTCCAACCACCTGAAAGGATCCCCGTAATGTTGCATTGTTGCCCCTGTTTACTCCCCGTTTGTTTGCTGTGGTCAGCAATTAAAAATTCAAACTACAGTTGTGCCGAGAAGTGCTTCTCTAATTCTAATTGCTTACTGTGTAGCGAATTTCCCCAAAGGACTAACAAAGGACACCCCGAGGATGCGGTTCAGCTGCTCTCCATTGTTATGAAAATGCGGTTGGTTTACAGAATGAATCTGCTTAGAAATTTATAAGCAAGAGGTGCGGGAAAGTGCTTTGGCATTAATTGAAATCTGTTTGGAAAGCGATATAATTCGGTCTTCCTCGGAGTACGTTAAGCAGGGACAAGGAAAATTTCGTACTTAATCAGTTTTTATGGTAGCCAAAGGATTTGTTTTTCAAAGTACAAATTAAACAACTTACCTTTTGCAGTTTTATTCTGCCAAAAACATACTTTAAAGCAACACTAACGAAAAGGGAAAAAATTGAGGAGTTTCCAAAGGAAAATCCATTTACAGGTGACAGCTGCTAAAAGTTTACCAGCTAACATAACTGCCAAAGAGAAAGGGAGTTGCAAAAGTGTTAACTTTGCAACAGTGTCAAAAACTGCAGGCGCAATGGGAAAATAAGTTGTAACCATTCGAAAGTTTGTTGCTGCCATTAGAGAAAAGGTGAAAAAAGGAATGCCAAGGGAGAAATATGTCCAAGCAACTGCCATTTCGATGAAGACAACTCGGTTATTGGCAAGTCTCAGGTATCAATTTAACCCAATTAATCAGAGGGCAAAGCATCGATTTGATTACAAGGACTTAGACGCCTGGCTGGACATCAACCATTATACACATCTTCAGCAGCTCATTGAAGCATCAAACTTGTCGTCTGCAACACTAATTAAATGAAATTTCATTTGCACAACTTGGGAGAATTTCCAGATTGGAAGGCTATCCTTTTGAGAGGACTTCGCCCCAAAAGTCAAATACCCTCGAACTCCGGTTTTATCTCCAAGAGAACTCTCCAGATCTGAAGTGAAATATGCCGGGATATTATCGCACTCGAAGCTTTTCACAGATTTCACTTGAGTTGCAATGGGAAGAGGCTGTCCTCGAGGATGTTTTCAGGTTTTCTTTTTGGCCTCTCCGAATTTTTTTTTACGAGCCTGCCATCAGAAATGACCCAACTAAGTGGGGTGAATTGGGGGCGCATAACTTCAACTGAACTTCAACTCTATGTCCATCCAATTAATTAAATGATTTAATCGCAGCAAATGTTGCTCGCATTATGAGCACAAAGAACTCGTTTGGCCTGTCAAGTGCTCGAACACTTCTTAACAAACATCGGCCTGGTTAGGTATACCTACACTTAAAACTTCTCATATTGATAAGAAAATCATAATGTTTTGTAAAACTACAATAATGTCAAAATAAATATTATTTCAAACACAGGGATTTAAAACTGGTGATTTCTAATTTATGTGTTTCAATTTACAAAGGATACTTATACTTACATTATTGCAAAGTTGTTCTATTAAATGTTTTTTCAGACTTTTGATTTAATATATTTCTCCCAGTGTTGGTGTGGCGAAATGTTTGCTGCTCACTATGCGTAATCCCTTCATCAGCAATTCCCGCACTATGGGCGATGGACGGAAAACATTTGTACATCTAACCAACCTTATCGCAACTGGCACTCGTCTGTTGAAATCCGCTCCTCAACATTCGAGGTTGATTCTCCGGTCCGGAATGTTCCGCCCCAGCGGAAGTGGGCTCCGTTCGAGGCTATCTGGCCTCACATTGAAGAGTGTCCTGTATGCCTCGTGGGTCCTGGGCGTGTTTCCCTTCACCTACGACAGCTGGACGAGGAAATTGCACCGTTCCAAGTGGCTAATTGTGTATGGCCTTGTCTTGAATGCGGCATTTATTGTGCTGGTGGTCACAAATGACACGGAGAGTGAAACGCCAATCAAAATGCAGGTGTTCCATAGGAATGCCCTGGCCGAGCAGGTCAACAGAGTCCACGATGTGCAGACTCTTTCGATGGTGTCTCTGGTGCTGCTCAGAGGTTTCTGGAAAAGCGGAAAAATCGAAAAGATCATAAATGAGCTTTTGGATCTACAACACTACCACTTTCGTCACTATTCTCTGGAGAAGTGCTGCAGCTTTGACCGATTTGTCCAGTATAAAGGGCTATCTGTGATTCTGGAAGTCGTGTCCATGTTGATTTTGGAACTGGGCATGTCACCGAATTTCAGTAGCCAGCTTTTCATTGGAGTAACTGGTCTTTGTTTCATGCTACTCGCTGTTCTTTTGGGAGCCACACACTTTCACCTGGCCGTGGTCTTCATCTACCGATATGTGTGGATTGTCAACAGGGAACTTCTTCGGCTGGTGAACAATCTGGCAAATGGAGAAACTGTGGAGTCTGGCCAAGTGGACTACCTGTTCAAGCTCTACCATCGCCTCTTGGAACTCAACGATCGAGTGGCCTCCATCTACGACTACCAAATGGTCCTGGTCATGGTCAGTTTTCTGCTGGCCAACGTTCTGGGCATCTACTTCTTCATCATCTACTCCATCAGCCTGCACAATGAACTGGATATCAAAATAGTGGTCTTTGTTCAGGCACTGGTACTCAATATGTTGGATTTTTGGCTAAACATTGAAGTTTGCGATTTGGCAGAAAGAACGGGTAGACAAACTTCCACCATTCTGAAGTTGTTCAACGACATTGAGCAATTGGATGTGAAAGTGGAAAGGAGTGTAAGTTTATATACTCTCCTATGTTGTATAAAAAATTCTTTATTAATTTCTTTTATAGATTTCCGATTTTGCCTTGTTTTGCACTCATCGCAGGCTGAGATTTCGTCATTGTGGCTTATTCTATGTGAACTACGAAATGGGATTCCGCATGGCGCTCACCAGTTTTCTGTACCTGCTGTTTCTCATCCAGTTTGATTATAGAAACCTGTGAAGCAGGCGTGTTAACGAGTCCTCTAATTGGTTCGCACTTTCTTGTGTCGTCTGGAGTCGAGTGTTCTGGCAAAGGACCTACAAGTGACAGCTCAAGATGAGGCATTTTTTAAGGGCCAAACGAACAAGTGGGATATGTCCCCGCCGAGCTTACAAGGATTCGTGTCTAAGTGAAAGCCTTGTGGACTTTTCAGCTGGGGGAACGGGAACACAGCCGCAGGACATCTGTGTGCAAAATGCAGCTATAAAAAAGGGGAGTATTTATATCCACCCAAAAAAAAATAGACTATGCAAAAGCCAAAAGGAGAGTTTTAACAAGTCAAAAGGATACGGAGAAATGGAGTGGCTGTGAAAAGCAGCGCAATTAAGACCAACAAATGAACGAGTTTTCTATTTTTTCGGCTGGCTAAGAATGCAGCTGGATTTTCCGGCGAACAATGGCTGCGCAGAAAATGGAGAAAAGCATAAAGCACGAGCAGCTTTTGGTGCATATTCTTTGTTCAACTCTTGTGTGGTTATCCGTGTGTGCTCGGCTAATTTCCCTGACTGCGATTTCCCAGCTGTTTCCACACTTCCCTTTCTGGCTGCTTGTTTTTTCTGATTTATTATGCTCCGGGCTTTGCTTTTGTTGCGGATTTTCATTCAAATAAATGCATGTTTTGTGGAGCTGGGAGATCTATTTTTTGCATTTATTGCCAGAAGGATAATTGTTATTCATTACAATACAAAAAAAAACAAGTCTAAAGGTGGTTTTTTCAAATGCAAGCATGTTGAATTTTTTAATCATATTAATACATCTTTATGTGGCCGTGATGCAATCTGAAACATTAGGTTTAAATTCCAAAAAATTATAATTAAAAGCAAATAAAAAAATAAACCAAAATTATGTTCTGTAATTTTACGTATCCCATTCATAAAAAATGTTTCAGTCTTTGTAAATATTAAACATTTTAAAGGAGTTCCAAAAGTTTAAGAAATTTCATTATCCTTTTAAATAAGATCCCATGTCTTGTTGTTTTATTACATTGAAATATCGCTTAATAAGATATGTGCTATTCAAAAAATAAAAATATATAAAAAGTTTTCCAATTTTCGAAATGATCCACAAATTTAAGATTTTTATTTCGTCTAGCTTATTTTAAGCGATTTTATATAATGTTTCCTACATTAAATTTTAGTCTCCCCATACAGAATGGAAATCCCACTGGACAGGAACAATTAAATTGCTAGGCACAAGGATGAAATCCTGTTAAAAACTCAACACTTGAGGCTGCGGATAATCCGACACTTAGCCACTTATTGACAGAGGGCAACCGCTGTCAAGGCCAGTCAAGACCGCCCACCACAAAACCACCACCCACCGCTCGATTAGAAGTCGAGAGGAGGAAGATAATGCCACAATAAAAACAACTACAAAGGACACGTCGCTCACAGAAAAGTGCGTAAATTGATTTTTATTATCCTCGGCGTCTCACAGCCACTCAGCTTGGCTCAGCAAAAAGTTTTGGGCACAATTCCTCCCTTTCGCTTTGGCCAATATATTTGATTTATTGGCTTTATCCGGAATGCGCGCAAATTGTTCATTGCTTTGTTTACACCATAAAAATCCTGATGGACGCATTAGTTCGCCAAAACGTTCCATCGCATGCTCATGAGGCTGGGCTCGTAAATTTCATCGATAATTTCCGCTCTTATTCTGTTTTTGTCTGGCAGAATATTTATTTGTTTAACCATTATTTTATGGGAATATAAAAATCACTCAAAGAGCAGGAACCTATATTTTATTGGGCACCTACATAGATTTATGTGTAACAGCCTTCGAATTAACCAAATGACTACGTGTGTATGTTTTTGGGGATAGAAATCACTGGAAAAGTAGGATGTGCAAAAGTAATTTTAATTGGAAACACAATAATTAATTGAAAAAATTTCTCAATGGTCAGCATTTAAGAAATCTTCAATCAGATAAAAGTTAAGTCCATCCTTTGCCACTTTTCTGGCATCAAGTTTACCTCAATTTATAATTTCTTCAGTAAATTAATTAAAATTTGCCGCCAGGCCTGACTGTCCATTTGTTGTAATTAGGATGTTTTTTGTTCTGCCCTCCTTAGGTAAAGGACGTTCAATGACCCAAAGGATAGCCGAAGGCTGCAACTGAAAGGTCAAAGTTTATCAGCAGATTTTTGATTTAAATTTATATGTTTTCCTGGCAACCGCAGATTGGGGAATAAATTTGATGGACTTTGGATGGGGAGCAAACTGAGAGGACTTTGAACTTCCAGGGGAAGCAGTTAATGAAAGAGAAACCCTTTCCCTAATTACGATAAATGCCCGCCAATTGTTCCATTGATTCGAGCCGACTGCCGTAATTAGTTTGCCAATGCGCTATAATTTTGGCCTCCAGCCCTCAATTTATTTAAGCCGGTCGTGCGGGGGTTTTTCGCCCGAAACTTTGGCTTAGAAGTTTGCGAAATTAAATAATTGCCAATTTGCTGCAAGTTGCTGGCAGTTTAAACAACAATTCAGCGACGAGCAAAGCCGATTTGTGTCTCAGGCTGAGATGGAACTTTCGCGAGGAGGAAAAGAAGAAAAGATGGAAGGAAGCCAGGAAAAGCCGGGCAATTAGTGCAAAGTCTGACTAAATATTGTATCTATGGAAAATTTAGATCGCCAAAACTTTAATTACTTGGCTAAGAAAGAAGTTTCGAATGATGATAAGAAATGCAGAAGATGCTGACAGAAATCGGAATTACTTTTAAATTAGATCACTCCTTCTATAGTTTTAAACTTAATTTAAGCTTAAAAAGATTAAAAAAAAAAAATTTTATTATGTTCAAACAAACAAATTCAACTAAATGTGAGCGCACAAAATATTTTTTAAGACTTTCAATTAATTTTAAATCAGATTGCTTAAAACTTAAGCTCAGCTATAAAAAGTATGCTAAAATAGAATTTAATCAACTGCCTTATAAGTGTTTTTATTTACCAAAATATTTACGTTTCGACACTTTCAAGAGAATATGTAATATGGTTCAATTGATATTATTTAAGACCAGAAAAAAGGCAATAAAATAAAGAAGATGATCCAATAATGGGGAGGAAAATGAGGAAGAGATAAGCGAACTTATCACTATAAAGGAAATCCATTTCGTGCCTATTTTCTGCTGACAAGGCAAATCATCATAAAAACGAAAATATTTTTACGAATTTGTTTGCCTGCTCTGCAAAATGGTGAAAATGTGCGCAGCTCAGCAAAGTCAATGGCCAGATGGCGTCATTTTAATAAAAATATATTGAAAGCTGGCACAAATCGAGACGAGCGAATCGAAATTATCTGTAAACGTTGACGAGTCGCCAATGGGAAAAAAGAATGTTGACCTAATGCTGACTTCACTGCTGGAATTTTATTGTGTAAACAAAGGATCCCAAGGATCCCAAGGATGCCAATGCCGATGCCACGTGGCCCCCAAACAATTGGCGGATGTCCTGGGCCAGGGCAATAAATCAAATGCTTGTGTACACTCCAGTTTATATTTGTTTGCCCACCGTGCAGATGAGCAGGAAATTTGCCAGAAACTGGAGGATGTTGAAGAGGAAGGGGCAAGGGAAGGGGAATTGCCTCCACAGGATAATAAAAATCAATTTACGCGATTGTGTCGAGTGTGCTGCGCCTGTTATCGCTGCTGGCTTTGTGCTCTCGATAATCGAAGATAATGGGGCTTTCCCCCGATGAGGGCCGAACAGGACCAAAAGGACCTCTGCATCTGACAGCCAAGGAGACCCACGATGCCAAGGACGAGTGTGGGCTTCTTTTGTCAGACTTTTCTTTTCGAGCCCCCCATTGTTGCCCTAATTGTTGCCTGTCAGTTGCTGTACTGTAGTAGTTTTGTTCAGTTACCGAGTAACCTAAATGTTGCCGATGTCTGGACAAACGAATAACAGATAAAATAGAAATGTGGGCATAAATCAAGCGCAGGTGGTTGCCAAAAGGGAAATTAGCTGAAAGCACAAAAACAATTCGGAAAACAAACAAAAGAAAAGTGCACAAGAAGAAAGACTCAGATAAACTTTTGTTTACACAACCAAACTCTCAAGGCTACTATCATATCAAAAATTAGTATTGCTGGTAGAGGGCAAAATATGCCACAGTATTTAATTTAACATTCTTAATTAAGCCGAATACAACTACTTTTGCCATTTCAGTAAGTTAATCTATTTAAAAAATATTATTATTGTAGGTAAAATTGTTCAACCTTTTATATATTTATTGTTATACCCTTGCAGAGGGTATTATAATTTCAGTCAGAAGTTTGCAACGCAGTGAAGGAGACATCTCCGACCCTATAAAGTATATATATTCTTGATCAGCATCACTAGGCGAGTCGATCTAGCCATGTCCGTCTGTCCGTCTGTCCGTCTGTCCGTCTGTCCGTCTGTCCGTCTGTCCGTCTGTCCGTCTGTCCGTCCGTTTATATGCAAACTAGTCTCTCAGTTTTAAAGCTATCTGCATGAAACTTTCCCAAAAGTTGTCTTTCTATTGCAGGTAGTATATAAGTCGGAACGAGCCGGATCGGACGACTATAGCATATAGCTCCCATAGGAACAATCGGAAAAATAAATGAAAAAAATTATAACTTTGCTGTTTTTTAATTTTTTGTTTAGTTCTTCGACATTTAGTAATGGTTAAATATTTCCGATTTACGGTTTAAATTTCATCAAAATCGGACGACTATAGCATATAGCTCCCATAGGAACAACCGGAAAAATAAATGAAAAAAATTATAACTTTGCTGTTTTTTAATTTTTTGTTTAGTTCTTCGACATTTAGTAATGGTTACATATTTCCGATTTACGGTTTAAATTTCATCAAAGTCGGACGACTATATCATATAGCTCCCATAGGAACAATCGGAAAAATAAATGAAAAAAATTATAACTTTTCTGTTTTTTAATTTTTTGTTTAGTTCTTCGACATATAGCAATGGTTAAATATTTCAGAATTATGGTTTAAATTTTATCAAAATCGGACGTCTATATCATATAGCTCCCTTAGAAATAATAAAAATATATAAAATAACTATCAAATAATTGGGCTGCAAATCATCATAGCTTCAATGTTTTTAAACATATACGAAAGTAAATCATAATTTTAATGTTTTCAAAAATGTTTAATTCTTGCAATAGCTGCAAGGGTATATGAACTTCGGCTTGCCGAAGTTTGCTTTCTTTCTTGTTTTTTATTTACATATCTGAAAGATATGCTATGGTTATTTTGTTTACTATTATTATTATATATAATTCTGACAAAAGTACTAAATATCTATTATTTTTTGGGCGTGCAAAAGTTGAAAATCCCCCATAGCTGCTCATGTTAGCTTTAGGTGCCATTGTTTTTGCTGCAGCATAATGAAAAGGGGAATCCCTGCATTCTTAGCCAGCCAGAGAGCAAAGGACTCGTTCATTTGTTGGCCTTAATTGCACTTCTTTTCACAGCCACTCCATTCTGCAGACGCTTTTGACTTGTGTTGTGTGTTTTTGCCAGCTCTACTTTGGCTTTTTGCATAGCCTCGTTTAAAGACTGAGGGAATGGGAAAGGAGTTGAGCTTGTATTGCTGCAACTGACGACCGGCGGCCCTGTTCCGATTTTCCTTGCATTTTTCAGCTGCAAGTCATTCACTTTATTCAGCATTTCTGGCCATGATGTCACCTGCTTTATATTGCATCTCTTGACTTTGTCCATCTGGGAAACTAAGTGTCAACTCTTGAGAAAATTCCATTAATTCACAAGCTCATATAGTCAAATTGCACCAAGAAGAGCAAGTGCAATACGCTGGTGACGAGCATGTGAAAACCCATTTTACGATTAATTTCAAATTTCATTCTGCGATGACTTCAGTATAAGGCAAGGTCAAATGTTTATGAGAAAGTTTCTATTACAAGAAATAACTTTGCAGGCTTAATTCCCATACTTACACTTCTCTCAAGCTCCCTGTCTACCAGTTCTATCCACCAAATCCCACACTGCAATGCTCAGCCAAAAATTAAGTTTTTAACCATTGCCAAAGGAAACATATTCAGCATGACAAATAGGGTCATTTGGTTCAAACTGATTGTGTAGACGATCATATAGAAACTAACGATAATGTTGGCTGCCAATAAGAGTATCACCATCAGGACCGTCTGATAATCGTAGCACTTGGTTAGTCTTTCATTAAGATCTACCAGTTTACTATAGAGTTTGAGGCGTATTCGAATTATGGAGGAGCTACCTTAAGGAGGATTAACCAAGTCGTGTAGTTCTCTGTTTATAAGCCATACAAATCATTGTATATTAGCACCAGATCTTGGCTCAATCTTAAAAATCAATAAAAAGTCAATTATTTAAGGTACTAATGTATGATAAACATCAACACATGATGTGTTGAGTTACTAAATTATTTATTAACAAGTTAAACATCCAACAACTTATTTCGCTTAAAATCTTTTTTTTTATGTATAATCAAAAATTGTTAACAAAATGCTTAATAAATATTTCAGTCAAGACATTTTACAAATTCATATAATCAAATTGAACCAAATAAAGCAAATATAGAAAGCTGGTGATGATCATATGGAAACCCATATTATAGTTAATGGGAAAAAGTCCAAATAGTTCAATACGGAATTTTCGGTGACTGCATAACCAAGAGAATTCATTCAGCTGTTAAAAAAAATGATTATTTTTTATAAATTATTGTTTCTAGATATAAACTCACACTTTTCTCTAGTTTCACATCTTTATGCTCAATATCAATAAATAGTTTCAAAATAGATGAGGTCTTTTTACCTTCTCTTTCCGTGAGATCACAAACAGCAATGGTCAGCCAAAAATTCCAAATATTAATGATCAAGGATTGCGGAAAGATCACCAAAAAAATTGATGTTTTTCCCATGGTAATTCCAAACACAATGGAAAAATAGATGACCACAATATTGCCAGCTAAGCCAGATGTTAAAATAAGAATTATTTGATACTCATAAGCAGAAACTAATTTTGTATTAAGTTCCAAAAGGCGAGCGTACAGGGCAAGAAATTTCCGTATACCCGAAGAATCTATCGTAGAATCCAGTTCAAATTGTTTTACCAGGTCCAAAAGTTTTTCATTTATCATCCAGATATAGCGATAGGTGAAAAGTATCCCGACATAATAATGAATTAAATTAAGATTGAGGGTTATTTGCATTAGGCCGCTTACGAGCACCAATAACACGCCATATTTATTTCCAGGCATTCCATAGTTCACCGTCAAAAAACATATCAACTGTCCCATTACGACCATCCATTTTTGTATTACAAAGCCGTTGAATTTGGGGCAACTCTTTAGGTTTAGACTGTCAAAGTGTTGATATTCCAGGGCTATTAGCTCATTGCCGATCTCCTGTACTTTTTTGCATCCCCAAAAGTTCATAAAGTGTATCACTGCGGCCGAAAAGACGCCCATCACTCCTATTACCATGTTTAGCAATTCCAGCAGAGGACTTCGTTTAAAGACTTCCAGTTTGTGTTGCTTTAGACTTCTGGAGCCCATGTACACCAGTAGGCCCAGAACGGAATAATTTGCGATTAAACCATAGAACTGAAGCCATTGGGAGCATCTTAGCTGTTTTTTTCGGGTGTCAAAGGTAAAGGGAAACAGTCCAAATATCCAGGATCCATATAGTTCTGCTTTTAGTAGGAACCATACCAGATGTGGACAAAACTCGCGGCGTAATCCAAACATATTCGAGTACGCGAGGGAAATGATGTGCTCAAATTACTTTCACACACCAGGAATATAAAAAAAACAAATGCAACACTAATAACTCACTTAGCAAAGTACTAATGGCTATATAATTATACCAATCTAACAAACCCTTTCAGAGTTATTAATAGGGAGGTGAACTATCGATTTTTGTGTCAACAAGGTGTGTCGGTGGCTTATGAATTGAGGAGAAGCAGAAACACTTTAGAAATATAAAATATAAATAATAGTTAAGCCACAAAAATAAAATTTTCTAAAAACAATTTGTAGTTGATTTATTTTGAATTTAAGCACTCATTTTTAAAAGAAAAAGTACTTCTTAATAGCAAGATAGTTTATATATATTAGTATCAAGAAATGTAATCATTTTTAATTTTGTTAAACATCATTTGGTGATTGATAAAGATCGTCTGATTTGAATTTTAAATTCATATAATCAAATTGTACTAGAAAAACCACATATAAAATGTTTGTGATGATCATATGGAAGCCCATTTCATAGTTAATATAAAATAGTCCACAATGGCGAATTCTCAGTCTGCAATGGCTGCAGAAAAGGGAAAAATTGGATATCTAGAAGTAAAAAGAAAAGCTAAGACATGTATGTATAATTCTTAAAAAAAGAGCATACTTTTCGTTCCAGTTCCTTGTCCATACCATCAATATGGTTAAAAAGCTTCAAAATCGTTGAGGTTTTTCTGCTCGTAGACTCAGCTAAATTGCAAGTGGCGATTCCATGCCAAAGATCCCAAAAGTTGATGATCAAAGCTTGTGGTATAAGCAAAATCGTGGCTGTCAGAGAAAACCAATTAATGTTGGCCCAAAAGATGACAAGGACGTGGCCCACAATAATGTTGGCCGAGAACAAAGTGGCCATGAAAAGAGTGATCTGAATGTCGTAAATGGAGGCCAGGCGATTATTGAGGTCCAGAATGCGACCATACAGTCCTAATAGCAAATGAATTTTGTCAGGATCTACACTTTTACCTCTCCTCAGACGACAGATCATCTCCAAAAGCTGCCTATTGATTATCCATATGCAACGATATATATAAAGCACTGCCAGGTGAAAGTGCATCACCACCAGGAGAATTTCCAGCTGGACAATGTAGATGCAAAGCGCCTCTTGCACAATGACCTTGCTATCCGGCATTCCAAAATATAACACCAAAGAGGAGCCGATCTCTAGGACTACCACTAGAGCCTTGTGGATCACATACCTATCAAATTGTGGGCAATCTTCCATGATTAGCTTACTAAAATGACATTTTTCCATCATCAGAAACTCATTGAGTATGGCAACCAAATCCTTGCTTCTCCAGAAAATTCGTAGATGGGTCACCACGGTGGTAATGAAACTTATTCCCTCCACAAGTCGTTCCACCTGCTTCACCAATGGATTGCGCTCGTAGATCTCCACTTTCACCGAATTGTGATCATCTGTGTACGGCAGCAACGACAGCACCATCAAACTTGTGTTCAATACCAAGCCATATGCCAAAAGCCACTTGGATCGATGCAGTTGCCTTTTCCTGGGGTCAAAGGTGAATGGAAATAGTCCCAGCACCCAGGATCCGTAAAGGGTGACCTTTTGGGTGAAACGGGACAAACTCCGGCGAACTCGTTGAACGCGTTTCGGTTGTAACATTATTGTAGTTCGACTGGGAATAACATTTTGAGGAACGGAAAATAACCATCGAGGCCAGCCGAATATGAAGTGATGACGACTTGATTGGGAAATGAGGGTCAGCCAGATAAGAAAATTAATTACATGAAATTATTGGTTACAAGATTGTGACTTTGGAGGGTTACACTAAAGGGTAAAGTGTTTTGTCAGGCAGTTGACTAAAAACTTATTGTAGCATTTCATTTGTTTATCAAACTGGCAGTGGCTTTTGTATATTTCCTACCTGACATCGTCGATTTTCACCTTTCCTCTAATGGCCGCAACAAACTTTCGAATGGTTTCAACTTATTTTCCCGATGCGCCTGCAGTTTTTGACACTGTTGCAAAGTTAACACTTTTGAAACTCCCTTTCTCTTTGGCAGTTATGTTAGCTGGCAAACTTTTAGCAGCTGTCACCTGTAACTGGCTTTTCCCCTGGAAACTCCTCATTTTTTTCCCCTTTCATTAGTGTTGCTTTAAAGTATGTTTTTGGTAGAATAAAAAGCGACAGGAAAGTAAGCTCTCCCGCATTTCCACTCTGGCAACTTTAAAAACTGATTATGAAGGAAATCTTCCTTGTCACTGCTTGAATACCATCGCTTTTCAAACAGATTTCAAACAACACCCAAGCACTATCCCGCTTATAAATTTCTAAGCAGATTCATTCCGTAATCAAACCGCATTCTCATAACAATTGAGGCCAGCCGAACCGCATCCTCGGGGTGTCCTTTGTGAGTCCTTTGGGGAAATTCGCTACACAGTAAGCAATTAGAATTAGAGAAGCGCTTCTCGGCACAACTGTAGTTTGAATTTTTAATTGCTGACCACGGCAAACAAACGGGGAGTAAACAGGGGCAACAATGCAGCATTACGGGGATCCTTTCAGGTGTTTGGACATCCAATTTGCATGGTTAAACGAATCGCCATTTCCTCTATTGAGATGAAAAGTTACTTTAACCTCTAGCAGTTTCAGCTTAATTAAACACAAAATGGTCGACAATTGTGGATTCTCGTTTCCCTTGAATGAACTTCTCACCCTCTTTGGAACTACTAAGAAACCACAGAAGGATTGCAGCTGAGCATTATGGTGGCGAGAGGTTCCTACAAATTCCGTTCTTCATTGTGTGGCACTTATGTTACTTTCTCCCCAACTTAATCGCTGATTAAACGCAGAACTCAAGCGTCAAACGCACAATTTGGCGGCATTCCTCCCTGCTCTTTTTGCTTTGCTCTTTCTTCAGCGATTCCCCCAGAAACGTGCGTGATTTCATTAAAAAGAAGGCGCCACAAAAAACACCTTAGAGACGAAAACGGAAAAGTTCTTCAAGTCGCGCATACGCCACGTGAGCCAGTAGCCTGCAATTGGGCCACGCAAAAGCCAAACGGCATAATTAGAAGCTGTAAAGGATCCAAAGGATTCCCTGTGCCAAGTTCAAACGGAGCTAACAGAAACCCTTAAAAAGGGGTTTAAGAAAGGGAACAGGAAGTGGGTGTTAAAGAATAATCCCAGAATAAGTTAATTAGACTAATTATATTAAAAGTGACTGAGATAGGGTGTGGCTGGCTTAAATGCCTATTTCAATACGATTTTTTTCTTCTTTGGTAAGGCATTTGGTAAGTGATTCAAAGCTTATAGACCAGAAAAATCCCGTGAAAGATTTTCGCATAAGAAACATATTTGTGTAATGCCCCAAAAAACGAAACAAAGTTCCATGAAAATGTCGCGCCTTTAACCTTTTCGTTGGGATTATTGAAAATGTTTCCCCTCATTGCTGTCATGTCTTGTTTGGCCATTATCCTGACTGCCTTTCGCAACTGCTGATATCCTTCGCCATGTTATTGTTATCCTTACTTCTCCGAAGGGGCAAAGTTTAATGTTTCACTTGGCAAAGGATTCTCGTTGCCTGCGGGGAAACTTTGCTCACAAGTCGTTAAAATCAAATGGATACTGTCCCAAAGGGGGATTCGGAATAAAAATCTCTGTTCCGAGAGTTAAGTATGCAAACTAAGGGGTTTCCATTGCCATAACACCCTTTCAAGTTAACTTCTCTTGTTTTCAAGCGATCAAATCTCCTTGCAAATGCAATCCTTGCACCAATTTAGCACATCAAAGGTAGACAAACAGCCACGCCCATTTCGGACACGCCCACCCAGGCAAATGAGGCAAAAAAATGTTGGAAAATATTTGCACTACAAAGTAGCAGGAGAAAAACAAACGGAATGCTCGAAAAATATTTTCACAGTTGCAAATGTTCGCTATGCGATGAGAACGAAAAAACTGTTGGTAAATATTTATGAAATATTTTCGTAGAGTCTGCAAATCAAATCAAATTGCTGACAGCCCCGTTGTGGGAAAATTCCTTGATTTATTGGAAAATGGGAGGGTGAACTTTTCAGTTGTTTACTTGTCAAATGATTGGAAGGCAGGAATCCCGGCAGATGTTTACCTCTTTTTTGCTTATCTAATAAAGTGCAATCCCCAGAGCAGACAATGCAATTTGCCGCGTATTTATGTCCTTTGGTAAACTCTTGTGAGCTTGTGTGGAAAACTGCAGGAAAAACTTACCGGCCACCTTGGAAAACTCTCTGAAAGTGACTTACAAAGGAGCGTTGTGAAATTAGCTTGCTGCAGTGAAATAAATTGCAAATTTCAGGACGGAAATTGAAAATTTATTGGCAAAAAGAAGGAGTATGGTATATGGGGTGTCCTCTTTTATTTATGCATATATATTCCTAGAGTTTTCTTTGAGGGATCATTGGTGACAGAGGAAAAGAGAGCAGCGATTGATGATCCTGGCTGTCGGGATACAAAGTGACAACATTTTGCATCGCAATCGGAGAATAAACTTTTCCTATTTTTCCCCTTCCTTTGAGGGACATTAAGAATTTGTTTTTCCCGTTTACTTGGGGATGCATTTTCGCAATGTTTTCCTTTTCTCCTTTGCTCATTTTTCATGCTTACTTTGGAGTGCCACAAAGTATGCAACACATGCAGCTGAAGTTTCCGCGGAAAGTTTTCTTTTGCCGCCCCTCGTCTTCCATAATAAGTTACGCTTAGCATTTTCTGTTTTTCCTCCCAGCTAAGTGCATTTTTCACCTTTTACCATTATTCGGTAGCTCATTTTCCGCGCTTTTCCCCAGAGAAGTTTCGCGACTTCAGCCGAGGGTATGATGATTGCTTTGGTCTACGCAAAGTATCTCAATTTGGGTTCATGTTTCCATTAGACCCTCGAATATTCCTCAGATGCGCATAAAGTATTTTGCAGATAATAAAAATTGGCAAACGGCGCAGAATTTATGCGCTGTGAAAACT